ATTGCCGGGCGTTGTGCCAGTGTGATGCTGTATTGGGGCTCATGCTTCAATGCAGCAGCGGGCTGCGGCCGGGGGTGGGCAGAATGGGGCAGCCTGGCTGCCGATTTTGTAGCCACCTGGAATTTTTATTTTCGGCTTCAAAATAACAGGCGTTATGGATTAACTTCGTTATCTCGAACCGTATTGAATGTAAAAATTACTGTGAGCTTTCTCAAAAGTTCATAGATGTCGCTGTGTATCCAGTAATTTTCTATCCTATTTAAAAAAAATTTGATAATAGAATTCTTATGTTTCTTGTATTTGATTGTTCATAATATTTTCTACATATATTTAAATGATTTAAGAATATAATTTACGATATCTTTAAATTATTCGTCCATTAATGTCATGACCCATGTACTTTGGGATCGCTCCTCTTTTGAAGAGTCCACTGGACAATTTTTGTTGATTTTTTTTTTTTTTTTTTCTTTTTTTTTCAAAATGGAATCAACTGCATATGAAGGAGGTTTTTGGCGCTTGTAAGAGAGGCCAGGCTGCTCATGTGCGACTGTGTTGAGATCCGTACGGCGTTGCAAGGCGTCTGTCGTTTCGGTGCGTCGGCCTGCGGGAGGTGGCCTGCTTGGGCCCGTGGTGGGTGACTCGCTACTTATGTTTTTGTAAGTGTTAATATGGATAATATTACATTAAGAGAATCTTTGAAAATAAAAATTGTATAATGTGTCTTTTACTTAATAACTATTTTTACATTACCATATTACAAACGCAACCCAAACTATCAATATTCTAAAATACTATAGCCATATGCACAAGTATTAAAAAAAACATTTTAGGGGTCTATAGCTGGATCTCACTGTTACCAAAAGAATCAACACATTGAAATAAACATCATATTAAAAAAAAAAAAAAAAAAAAAAAAAAAAAAAAAAAAAAAAAAAATCTGTAATATATAACAACACATATAACCTATATATATAACATACAATATATATATATATATAGATTACATAGATACATATATAACAGTGGGATCCAGCTATAGACTCCAAAGAGTTCTTTTAATACAGGGTAACAATATGCAGATCATATATATTTATCTATTCTTTATATCTTTTCATCTGTATCAATAAATCACTTGCTTACTAAACAAACAACATCCCTTCCCCTTAGTTCTGTTGTTTATTATACAATATATTTTAATTGTATATCATAGTACAAAAGCGACAAACAACCCCGTTATAAAGCCTACGTAACCCAACCTTGACAAACCCTTACACTTACAAGTTCCTACAGACAAATTCGGTGAAGCATAGCAACCAATGGCTACACAACTCCACGGCATTTTAACCAAAAGAACTTTAAATGCTTGGAATGACACATTAATTCCATAAGCACGCAGTAATTTTTTGAACGAACGTGGGTTTGCTTTAACCAATTACTTGTTGCTGGGTGTGGTTGCAACATGCATTACCAAACAGATAAAGGTAATAGGTAATTGGAATTGGTGATTCAACGTTAGGTCACTTCGAAGGATCATCGGTCCAAATTTCTAGAGGTAAAGAACATGGATAAGTTTTAGCTGACCAACTTTTAGTTTCACTTCATAACACTTTATCTACAGTTTTCAACATATCAAAGTCGCTCACAATAATAAATTAATTTTTCATTACTATACTAGAGGTTTGTGAGATATGGGTTTGTTTACACCAAGTGGTTTTCGTTGTCATGGCAACCTCACCTTGTGACATAATGCTACGTGACATCTATGCTGTTTACAATTAACTTTTACCTAATAAAAACTATACAAGCTCTTAATTCTTCTATCAAGAATTCCAAGCTAAAAACGCATTTACAATCAACAGACATACAACATAAACTATCATCACCCACTTACCTGTCTTCTCTAATTCCTTCTTGTTTGAAGTCACTTTCTTCTTCACCAGTGCCTTAAAATCAATGAATTTCTTTCGCATATCATCTGCGGTTCTTGGTATGGGACTCACGGCATTCACAGCATTTGCAATTGCCTCCCATGCTGCTCTCTTGGCTTGCTTGTTGAGTGTTGTTGGTCCTTCACCTCTTGAGTGTATTACTGCTATTCTTTTCGTTGCCTCTCTCATCAAAATAAATATTTCTTCATCCTTAAAATTCGCCTTTCTCCTCTTGACAGGCGGGGTTGCCATCTCGCTGTGTATGGCAGACATCAAAGAATGACCGGCAACAAAATCGAACCTGGAAAAGGCTCACAAGATTGCAGAGGAAGAGCACAAGTTGTATTACGTCTGACCGCACTCTTTGTTTACGTTCAATCAGCTGTTCTGGAAAATCGCACGTGATTGGTTGGATCAATTTGTTATCCGCGCGGCAATTGGTCAACACAAGATACGACTGATCCTACTGAACGCCGTGGATATAGCACGCTCCCTTACGACCGATATTAAGATCTACCCTAAAAACCCGCGCTGCCAAAATCGTACGATCACCTAAAGGCCGCAACTTTAGG